ATGTTTTACCAAGCGGATGCCTCGTCGGACATCGCCGGCCTCGGGGGTGCCAGCGGCGCGGATATTCTGAACGAGTTCGACCTGTCTCTGCTGGAGCCGAGGCTCGGCGGCGGGGCGGGCGGCTTCCAGGCGCCAGGCCTCCTCCTCGACGGGACCTGGACGCCGAAGGACAGCGACCCTTCCTTCTGCACCGACCTCCTCTTCTCGCAAGATTCTCCGACGTCTTCCGACGGCCTCTCGCCGGAGTCCTTCTGCCTGGACTTCCTCCCCGCCGCGACGGACGCCGCCTACCCCATGGAGGGCGCCCCGCCGGCCCCGAGGACCGGCGGCTCACGCGACGCCGAGGCCGGGCAAGGTCCCCGTGTACATGTGGCCGCGCCAGAGCGACCCCGAGATGGAGAAGAAGCGGCAGAGGGCGCTCAAGGCCTACAACAACCGCCAGAAGGTGTCCCAGCGCGAGCAGGCCATGCAGAGCCAGATCGCGTGCATGGCCAGGCTCATCGGGCAGCTGCAGGCGGAGAAGAAGGCGCTGGAGAGCAGGCTGGCGGAGGCGGAGGCGCGGCTCAGCCTCTTCGGCGCCGGAAGGGAGCCCGGGTATTGAGCCTCGTCTCAAGTTCGTTATTTATTTCGAAATCTATTTTTGCAAGAAAAATAAATCTGTAAAACACAAAAAAAAACACAAAAAATATGTAAAACAAAAAAAAAAAAGACAAATGTACATAATGTTAATCTGTATATACCATTCTTATTTATATTCCATAATCATTTTAGTCGTAAGTCAATACAAATTGAAGGAAAAAAAAGACATATTTCTTATTATCCCTTTCACAATTCTTCCTTTTTGTTTCCTTATTCTAATTCTTGAAAACAACACGAAGTTGACACCAAGAGATTCAATGTGTAGAGGAAAAAGACTTAATTAATATAATATAATATATCTATTATTAATATAATTAATAATAGATACACTCAAGCAAGTACACTCGCCAGCATGTACACACAATCAAATATATACACAAACAAGGACACACAATCAAGTAGGCCTATACGCATGCATTCAGATGGACACTAAATACATAATAATAAATGAATACACACAAAAAATAAGCAAGTACACACACAAATATAAACAAGTACACACAAAAAATAAACTAGTACACAAAAAAATAAACAAGTACACACACCACAAAATAAACAAGTACACACACAAAAAATAAACAAATACACACAAAAATAAACAAATACAAACAAAAAAAACAAGTACACACACAAAAATAAGCAATTACACACAAAAAAATAAACAAGTACACAAAAAAATAACACACACACACACAAAAAACAAGTACACAAGAAATATAAACAAGTACACACAAATAAACAAGTACACACAAAAAATAAACAAGTACACACAAAAAAAATAAACAAGTACACACACAAAATAACAAGTACACACCAAAAATAAACAAGTACACAAAAATAAACAAGTACACAACAAAAAAATAAACAAGTACACACACACAAAAAAAATAAACAAGTACACATAAAATTATAAACAAGTAACACACAAAATAAACAAGTACACACAAAAAAAATAAACAAGTACACACAAAAAAAAAAACAAGTACACACACAAAAATTTACAAGTACACACAAAAATAAACAAATGCACACAAAAAATATAAACAAAACACACAAAAAATACACACAAAAAAAATAAACAAGTACACACAAAAAAAACAAGTACACACAAAAAAATAAACAAGTACACACACAAAAATATAAACAAGTACACACAAAAAATAAACAAGTACACACAAAAATAAACAAGTACACACACAAAAATAAACAAGTACACACAAAAAAATATACAAGTACACAAAAAAAACAAGTACACACACAAAAAATAAACAAGTACACACACACAAAATTAAACAAGTACACACAAAAAATAAACAAGTACACATACAAAAAAATAAACAAGTACACACAAAAAAAATAAACAAGTACACACAAAAAATAAACAAGTACACACACACAAAATAAACAAGTACACACACAAAAATGAACAAGTACACACACATCCATATGGACACAGAAGCAAATCCACGCACACGGTCACATACAGACACAAGAACATATATACACACATAAGACAAATGCACACGGAATCAAACACACACAAGCAAGTACGAACACAAACAAATACACAAGCAAGTACGGCAAACGAACACAAACAAATACACAAGCAAACAAGCACACACAGAACAAATGAATGAAAATAGAATAAATAAAAAGATCCGGTCAATGTTTCTCCGCAAAAGAAACAAACAAACAAAAAACGACAAATTTAACCGACAAATATTTAGGGACGGAGGGAAATCCCCGTTTTCTATTTCCTTTCTCTGAATGGGCTTGGAGGGGAGACTGTCCTAACTCATTGCTTTCTATTTTTTCCTTTTTCATTTTTCTTTCTTCTTCTTTTTTATCCCCTTATTTTGCAATGTCTTTAGAGATGATTAAGTTTGATTTTCATAGTATATGTTGTTATTGATAATGATTATCTATTATGATTATTTAATACTACATAATTGGTGTCATTACTTCATTATATTCATTATATATTTTTTTCGTATTTGCTTTATTGTTATTTTTTTCTTTTTTGTTAATGTGTATTACATCTCCATTTATTTATTTGTTTTCTGTATTTGTTTATTTTTTGTTCTTATTATTGTTGCAGAAGTAATCAATATTGTCATAAGACTTGTCATTCATGTTATCATTATCATCTCTGTTACCATGCACATATCATTATTATTATTATTATCATTATTATTTATTATTATTATTATCATATTATTATTATTATTATTATTATTATTAATTATATTATTATATTATTATTATTATTATTATTATTATATATTATTATTATTATTATTATTATTATTATTATTATTATCATTATTATTATTATTATTATTATTATTATTATTATTATCATTATTATTATCATTATTATTATTATTATTATCATTATTATTATTCATTATTATTATTATTATTTATTATTATTATTATTATTATTATTTATTATTATTATTATTATATTATTATTATTATTATTATTATTATTATTATTATCATTATTATTATTATTATTTATTATTTATTATTATTATTATTATTATCATCATCATTATTATTATATTATTAATTATTATTATTATTATTATTATTATTATTATATTATTATTGTATTATTATATTATTATTATTATTATCATCATTTTATTATCATTTTCATTATTATCATTACTATCATTACTATTATCATTATATCACCATCATTATTACTACCATCATTAGTATTATCATTATCATTATTAGTAGTAGTAGTAGCAGTAGTGGTTTTAGTATTTAGTATTTTATTCATCATTATAATTATCATTATCATTATTATTATTATTATTATTATCATTATTATTATTATTATTATTATCATTATTATCATTATTATTATTATTTATTATTATTATTATTATTATTATTATTATATTATTATTATTATTATTATTATTATTATTATTATTATCATTATTATTATTATTATTATTATTATTATTATTATTATTATTATTATTATTATTATTATTATTATTATTATTATTATTATTATTATCATCATCATTTTTATTATCATTTTTATTATTATCATTACTATCATTACTATTATCATTATCATCACCATCATTATTACTACCATCATTAGTATTATCATTATCATTATTATTATTAGTAGTAGTAGTAGTAGTTTTAGTATTATTATTGTTATCATTATTATTATCAATATCATTATTATCTTATAATCATTATTAAATATCATTATTATTACTATCATTATTATTATTATTATCATTATTATTATATTATTATTATTATTATTATTATTATTATATTATTATTATTATTATTATTATTATTATTATTATTATCATCATCATTATTATTATTATTATTATTATTATTATTATCATTATAATTATCATCATTATTATCATTATCATAATCATTATTATTAATTATTATTATTGTTATTATTTGTTATTATTATTATTATTATTATTATCATCATCATCATTTTTATTATAATTGCTATCATTATTATTATTATAATCATTATTATTATTATATTATTATCATTATCATTATTATTATTATCATTATTATCATTATAATTATCATTATCATTATTATTTTTATCATTATTTTCATCATTATTATCATTATTATATAATTATTATCATTATTATCATTATTATTATTATTATTATTATCGTTATTATTATTATTATTATTATCAATATTATTATCAATTATTATTATTATTATTATTATCATTATTATATTTTATTATATTATTATTATTATTATCATTATTATTATCATATTATTATTATCATTATTATTATTATCATTTATTATCATTATTATTATTATTATTATATATTATTATTATCATTATTATTATTATTATTATTATTATTATTATTATTATTATCATTATTATTATTATCATTATTATTATCATTATTATTATAATTATTCATTATTATTATCATTATTAATTATCATTATATTATCATTATTATTATCATTATTATTCATCATTATTATCATTATTATCATTATCATTAACATTACTATCATTATTATTATCATCATTATTATCACCCGTTTGTTTACCTTAGAGTGCCAGCGAAGACGAATCCTTGTATATAACTTTTTTCCATCTTAGAAATATCTCAATCTTAAATGAGATTATGTTTAAGTTTTCGTCACCACAATTACCCAGTCTTGTTGGTAAGTCAGTATATCAGGGATTTGGAAAATATATTTGATTATATCAGTGCTATATAATTATAATTATCTATAATCATATAATTATTTGATTATATCAGTGCTATATAATTATAATTATCTATAATCATATAATTATTTGATTATATCAGTGCTATATAATGATGATTTGATTATATATTTGATTATATTCTATCTGGCATAGATGTATCAGTATATTCTAACAGGTAATATATTTCTGTTTGTCCTTACAATTATTCCATGTTATAAAGACACTTCATAGCGATGAAATGTATTCATGAATGAGAATGAATATCTTCACAATACAAGAGATGCATTTAACCGGTTTCGAATATATCTTCGTCAGAAACACGTGTTTTTTTTTCTGCATTTGACCGAAATTCGTGTGTTTCGGACGGAGATATATTCGAAACCGGCCAAATACATCCCTTGTAAGGTGTAGATAATACGTTCTCATTCATAGCTTGCTACGAAACCTCACTACATCTGAAATGAGAATATGCAAATTAGCTCATAAATTCACCAAGATATGCATTTAACCGGTTTCGAACGTAATATCATTATCGATATTGTTATAATTTTGTATCATCACTATTATCATTACTATCATCATTATTATTATCATTATTATTTTCATTATTATCAATATCATCAGTAGATATTATCAGAATTGTTAATATCATCATCATTATTATGTAGAAAAGGTAGGAATGAGAATTAATATCTTCACCAAGGCGAGATATGCAATTAACCGGTTTGAACGTCAGGACACCGCTTGGGATCTCGAATCCATGAAGCCGAATTCCTATTGGGAATGTGCGGGAAAATGGCCTTATTGGCAATTCTAAAAGAAAGGTAATATCATTATTATCCTCATTATTATTATTATTACTATTACC